AAAGCATCAATTAAGATGCATATGGTTTTAGTCATATCTTGAAATTTGGGGTAGGGCTTATTGATTGCATTGGGACAAATTGGCAAGGATACTTAACTGAATTTTCATACACATTCTTGTCATTCGAATGTTTTGTATGTAGTTTCTCAACTAGATTAATAGTACATCATTCAATTTTCAATATCTCGGATAATTACAATCTAGGTTTACTAGTACTTGCTGATGCTAACTACAATCATCCCAAACATATGGTACGAGTACATATAAAAAGCTACTAACAAAACTCGAAGAAAAACCATTCGTTTCTTTGCAACTTAAGTGGTGGACTATTTGTGGCTGCTCATGAGAAAATTGCGACATATTGTATTATTGTGAATATCCTACCTCTCTAACCTATTTTGCATTAATAACAGCACTGATGCTAGATGTATGGTCAATCAGAAAGTCCTGGTGGGATAATTTATTTAAAGTCTATACATCAACAAGTTCAGAATTGTCATGCTTAAAAATAGCAGGCACCAAAGAGTCAAACTGTCAAAGACAGACAAATACAAGCAATATAATCAACAGAAGCTCAAGAAAAAACATTAGCCATCCTAAGCAATGATCTTTCACACATAAATTATAATATGGGCAAGCATAACATACGATTTATTCCCAAAAGAGCTGAGAGAACCAAAATCCGGGATCTCCCCTGAGAAGAAATTAGTTGACAAGTTCCTGTGGCAAAGTAGTGAAATAAGATATGCATAGTAAGTATTTAACAAAGCATTCTGAATTTGAAATTAATTTTCAGACATCATTTCAGAACTTACAGATAGCGTAGCCTTGTTAGCCGCCCTAGGGAGGAAGGTATAGCACCCTTTAATGAATTACTAGACAAGTCCCTGCATCAACAGAAATAAGTATTGTAGTACTATATAAGAATGTAAAAGAATGCAAGGTTTGAAAGCTAAAAATATTGAAAATTGACAAAATTGCAAGGCTATTAGCTAAAAGCTTAGATTGTAATCTTACAGTATGTTAAGAAAAGAAAGATTTCCAATCTCAGATGGTATGCCACCCTGCAGATAATTGGCTCTCAAGTACCTGGAATTGAAGGACAGTTTAACAATAAGACAGTGTCCAGTTTTTACCACAATCTATGCTCTACACGGGCTCTTCATTTCACCTCAAGTACCCGTTTCAAAACCTCGACACTTGATATAACATTGACCACATTAAGAAAAAAGAAAGGGTTTCACTTACAGTGCTTTGAGCTCAGTACAGTTTGCAATTTCATGAGGAATAAAACCATGCAGGCTGTTCTGATGAAGTGCTCTGAGTCACCATTCAAATAAAATATATATATAATTTAAATTTAGGTTTTACATAAATATGACAGAAAATAAAAACAAAAATCAAAGTTTAAAGTAATACTCACAGTCTTTGAAGTTTAGTAAGCTTCCCAATGCTTGGAGAAATTATCCCCCCAAGTTGCATATAAGGTAAATTTCTGAAGAACCCCAAAATCACAAACATTACCAAAATAAAACATGTTTCAAAAATGAAGAAAATTAATAACAAAATGAAATAAAGTAGACATACATAGAAATGACAGTTTGGTCTTCAGAATTACAAGAAATCCCAATCCATTGACAAGGTGTATCATCAGTATCTCTCCAATTACCAAGGGCATTATTGGTATCATTCAAAACATTCTTCAATTCAAGCAAAACCATGCCTAAATATACAAACAAAAACAACCAATTAATTACAATAAATTAAAACTTATAAAAACAATTAACGCATCAAGAAATAACCCAAAAAAAAAAAAAAATACTGTAAATTTTACCATCTGGTGTGAGGGCAAGAGTACAAATGCTGAAAAGGGTAGTCACTAAAATAAGTTTAAAGATCAAAATCAACAAACCCATTTGAAATTTCTTCTTCAAGATTGAATTTTTAACCTTCAATTTGATACTTCTTCACTCATTAAATATAAAAAAGAAAAAGAAATTCAATAATGTGAAGAAAAAAAGTTTCTTTTTTGGGGGGTACTAGTAAAGTTTTGAACTTTGGACAACCATGATAACTGTGAAGAAAGAAAAGAGTGGAGTGAGTAAGTGTTATCATGACAGTAGATTTTTCAAAAAAAAGTTAAAATAAAGGAAAATGCACAAAAAAAAATTAAAAAAAAAAAATTGAATAATTAAATGGGGTCCTTAAGTTGAGTAGTCTATAGCAATGGGGACAGTAAAAATGGGGTAAAAGACAATTGGGAAGTTGTGCTTTGCAGGGAGGAAATAGAGGGTGACTGTCTCTATTTTAATTGGGTTTTTCAATTGGCGGGATTTTTTTAATAAAATACCAACGTTCATTAATTCAAATAAATAAAAATATTTGTAGTGGTGTTACTATTTGAATAATCATTATTATTAGGTTCAAATATTGGTACGAAGTATTAATGTTGTGTTGAAATTTTGAAACCGGGGGAACTAGAAAAAAGAGTTGGAGTTTAGTGGTTGAATATTGGATTTTGTCTCTTTGTTGTTGGTGGATAAAGGATTCGAAAAATAAAGATTGTTTCCTTTTTCAGTGTTTAGTGGGAAAAAAAGGGTTACTTGAAATAAAACGAATTGTATTACAAACTTCTGTCGTAATAATCCGTATTTTAATTGCAAAGTAATGGACTAATGGGTATATAGTGTTTACGGAGAAGATTAATCAAAAACTATTTCAAAATGTTGTTTCTGTTTCTATTTTTGGGTAATACTACGTAAAGATCTTTCCTCAAAAAAAAAAAAAAAAAAAAAAAAAAAAAAAAAAATTACTACATAAAGATCATTATATACCCTCACTTTTTTAACTTTATTCATTGTACTTCTTAAATTACCTCTTACTTTTACACCTGTCTTGTACTTCTTTCCACTTCATATCTCTAACTTTTGTCTACAATTGTATTTTTACTTTTTATTAATGTACTTCATCCACTTTTTCTCCTATTTCTTAAATACCGTGAAAAAACACAAATAACAACACAAATAACATTATGGGACGGAGGGAGTAGTGATTTTTAATCGGTTGAAGGCGGTCACTTTCAAGGAAAAATTTAATCTCAGTATGCACTTGTTTGCACACATTCTAACAATCTTACCCCATTCTGTCCACACAACCAAACCAAGCCCAAACAGCCAGCATCACCTTCAATCTCGAAGAATTCTTCAGGTGGCTGGCCTAAAACTTCTGCCGGCATGTAAAGCTTAACCAGAAACAACTATCATGCTTGTATTCTTTCAAACTCATGCTACTCTCTCTAGTCATAGCAATTAGCAAACCTGGTTTCTATAAATCATAATGAGGTGCTTATCAGCTTATAGGCATCTAGCATCATACTCTGATAATTTGGAAAAAACAATTAAATGGTTGGCTCTAAACATACTGTATATTCTCCGTTACTTGGAACACGTCATTAGGACAATCATGGATGGCACAAAATAGCTTATAGCTGAGTCAAACGCTTGGCCACTTTACAGTGTCTAACGTAGTACTCAAGTTTGGGTAGCATAATCTATATGGTTGTTCAAGATGCATCTGATGTAGCCACATTTGATAGTTAACATTCGATAGTCAAAAAAACTACTTCCTAAAATTACAGTGAGATGGATTCATAATATGCAAGCAACAACGCCTGTATGGCTGCATAACGAAAATTGTCTTCTCTTTAATCAGTCAGATGAATGCAGAATATATCAAAACAGAAAAAGAAATAGTATTCGGTCATAATCAATCTATTTTGGTTTATTCATGCTCAAGAGTATATTCAATGACTCAGAAATTCAGTCCATGGAAATTGAACAGACCAAACTAATCAGGTAGAAAGTACCTGACAAGAATTAGCTTCAAGACGTAGAGAACATTGCAGATCATCAGTGCACCTAAGATCGATTCATCTAGCTCATTTCTGGAAAAAGAAACATAATCCAGAACATGGAACCTAGAAAAGCAAGGACAGCAGCTCAGTAACACAGAAAATTCTAAGCGCGGACAACAGAAAGGTTTAGAAAACAGAACATAGAAGCTGAACGATATAACAAGGAGCAGAGAGAGTATAGAAGGCATGAAGCTATATAAGTGCATTGCCTGTTACGTTCTGTTCTATTAAACACGCTCCCCCAAACAGATTTACAGAAAAAGGGCAAAGGTTGCAGCATAATTATGAGCAATGTCAGAGCCAAAGTAATATAAAAACTAAGGGCAAAAAACAGGTTTTCTGCTATACTACATAAGAAAATTAGATACCATTACCTCAGATTAATTGAACCGGTTTTTAAAGAAGCAAAATGCATAGGCAAGCTGAAAGGACTGAGAGGATGTTAAGGTTTTGCACAAATTTCTCAGCTTACACAGTAATACTACCATACGGATTCGTTCAACTCATTGCTGGAGGGTAGGAAGGCATTAGGCAACTCCATACCATCCTAGCATCCCTGTCCTACAAAAATACCAAGACAGGGAGAGGTATAACCGTACAAGTAACTGCACAAAAGACACAGTCTTTCGTATGTTTGTTTGTACACTAAGTATATAATCCAGGTAGACATAGGCATCCTATGAAGGACAAGGCTCATATTCCATATTATATGAATACATGAATACCAGATATAAATTATAGAATCCGCATATTGAAGAGGCTGCTTCAATAGGCATGTCATGACACCATCTAAACGAGGGTAGATGTTGGAATTGTTGCATAACTACTGACTACCCATTTTATAGCTTCAAAAGCAAAGCAACACAGACCAGAAGATACCAAACTCGGAGCAGCCACAAAATTTGATCATTCTTGAATGAAATCAATGTATAAGTCATAAACTTTTACACGTAAGATGTAACAGCTATTAAGCTCCTTCAATCAAAATGCGTATCCAGAAAATGAAAATAATTACAATACAACCTCTACATGAGAGACGCCATAAACATTAGAATAAAACATGGACCAAAAGATACCATCAAAGACATAAAACAGGAATCCGGAAAAATTCAAGCATAATATAAATTCATGACCTCAGGTAAGTTACAAAGGGAAAGGATAAAACGTAAATGAATTCTGAAATCTATGAAAATATAACATGGACTTGAGGGATTCACCGAACACCTTACATAGATTACAAACATACATAAAGGTAAGGTCAATCCTGAGAAAATTCAAGTTTGGACCTAGAAAATACGAATGCTACAAAGAAAGAATATAAACTAGCTGAATTCTGAAATCAAGGTCAGGATTTCAAGTCTTCAAGAGCCTTTTCCACAGCATAAAGAACCATCTTCTTTATCTCTAACTTATCCTCCTTCGCCTTGTGATTTGGGGGAAGGACTCGAAACTCTTCTGTCAGGCGCACACATTCTGGAACATTTTCAGGTGAGACAAAATCCATAGCAACCTTAATACAGGACTTCAAGTTCCGAACCTGATGGGGACACCCAGCAGGTATGAAGACAGCTTCGCCAAGCTTTTGCACAAATGTCCATGGCTCAACTCCATATTCCTCCTTCAGCTTCCTTTTGTGCTCTTCCGTCAAGTAGAATGTTTGATCGTGAATTGGATGCACAACTTGCTGCACAAGAGACCCATATATGTGCCTGAATTCCTTAAAATGCTTCTGTAGATACTCTTGCAGCTTAGGTGTGTCTTGTCTCCGGAAGATATCCCATAAAGCAGCACCCCCGGATTCTATCTCTTCGTTTAACTTATCATCACTCCTTGGCTGTGCAGTCGGCATATCTATGTCACTCTCCCCATCGCCACCACAACTGGATGAATTAGTCGCTTTCACAGATTTCCGGGAATTTATAGCTCCGCTTTTCTTCTTCCTGCCTCTTTTTCTCCCAGCAGCGGGCTTAACCTCTTCAATCACATCATCATTATTGTTCCTATAGTTTTCTTCATCATCAGCCTTTTGCTTCACTTCAATCTCAACATGTATTTCAGAACCTCTTCCTTCATGATTTCCGGTACAAGACGTATCTCTTTTAGGCCCTTCAGTGGAGCAAACAGCCACAGCAATTTCTTCCTTCACGCCTGTAAGGCCATCACATAGCTTATCAGTGTCCACAGGCTCTGCAGATTCTGCTGCTAATTCTATGTCCCTCGAAAGCAATGATTTATCATCTTCCAGCACTGGTACATTTGAAGGATCTTGGTTAATCAAAGAATTACCAAATTGAAGCTCCACTCTAGGGGTACCATCAACACCACATTCCCCGTTAATTATTCTAAGCTTTTCTCTATCAGTTTCAGTTACATTTCCCTGCCCCGATGTGCAAGCAGACTGGCAATTATTAGGAAATTCAGGAGCAGCATCAAGCGACTGACTACTTCCCAAATCAGTCACATAGCTATTGTCATTGGCAATCGAACTGCCATTTATTTCTTTAAGATCTTGGGCAATGTGCTTCTGCTTCAATCGTCTGATCCTCTGGAGCTGACTAGCATTGAGCTTCGTTTCTGCAGTATGTGTCAAAATGTTCACTGCATCAGACATATCACAGTGTAGTTTAGTCACGGAATCTCCTCGCCCCAGCTCTTGCGCAACCCCGTAAGCAATGTAAGTCTTTGGCCCCAAATCTGGCTTCAGATAGTCGGTTGGCAATTTGGAAGCAAGATTAAGAATGCCACTTAGGTGATGAGTGTACTCCTTGAATGGCAAAGCCTGGACAAATTCAGCACCATGCCTTGGTAAATTTTGATCAAATTCAGTAGATGGTGGCCAGTCTTTCAATTTCAATAGCAAAGGCCAGTAGTAGGGATCAAATTGACACTTTGTGTACCCATCAAAGAATTTATGAATATTGATATCTAACTCACACCAATTAAGGCAATTGATGGCCCTTACATTCAACTGCCTGTCATGCTTTGGATGTTTCAACTGACGAAAAGCACGCCACATGACCATTGGCTCCCAGCTCAAACCACTTGTGGTCTCAAGAACGTCTCTGACAATGATAGGCTCAGCTCTGGCCCAATGCCATTGAAAATGTTCCAGATCTTCATTTTTTATGTCAATGGCAGCAGGGTAGTACAGATAGTTGTCATCAGAATCTTCTCGGGAGGCTGCTTTCCTCGAATTATTATTTCCAAAACCTCCTTCACCCATAGAACTGGTGCAAGAGCAGCCTTGTGAAGTAACTGCATTCATACTAGCAACATTGCAGGTTCCTAATACTTCTTCTACATTTTTAACCAACTCTGAAACTTCTATTGGAAATAAACGCCTTAGTTTCAGCACCCCATTTCCACACCCACCAAGTCCCTGTGGAGGGCAAGGTATGCTACCGTCTACATTTGATTTCCATTCGACTGACACTGGCTGAGAAGGAATGTTATTATTTTTCAAGGGTTCTGCACCAGCATCATTACTAACATCATCAAGAATGTTCTCGTTTTTCAGAGGATCCGAACCAGTATCCAATCTAAAATCAGGAATGTTTTCATTCTTCAAATGTTCTGAGCCAGCATCCATGGTAACATCATCAGGAAGGTTCTGGTTTTTCAAAGGATCAGAACCAGCATCCACACTAACATCATCACAAAGGTTCTCATTTTTCTGAGGTTCAGCACCAGCATCATCCAAACTAACACCATCAGGAACATTCTCATCTTTCAAAGGTTCTAACCCAGCATCTATGCTAGCACCACCAGGAATTTCCTCATTTATCAAAGGTTCTAAACCAGCATTCACGCGATCATTGTTAGAAATTTTCTTATTTTTCAAAGTCTTAGTTTTCAAAGGCTCTGGTTCTCCTCCAAGCATATAACTATATCCTCTATCTACAAAATCCACAACCACATCCTTACCACCCCCTCGAAGATTACCATCCCGAATTTCCCGACAACAAACAAGACATAAATCATAACAACAATCCACACAGCTCCTATGCATATCAGCAATTGAAGTTTTACAATTATTACAAAACATACGTTCATTAAGAGGACAATCAATGCGTTCAACTATTACCTCAGATGGCAGCACACCTCGAATTCGAGCCTCGGCCTCTTTCTCCATCAACTGCTCCTCCTCAAACTGCTTCAAATAAGGCAAAACAGTTTGCAACAAATACAAAGAGTGTTTCTTCTTTTCATCATCACTGATCTTCATCTCTAGTTTCTTCAACATACCTTTAATCCCCCCTTCTAACCTCAAACAAGCTTTGCAATTACAATTCCCTCGACAAACCGGACAAGATTCAACAAAATACTCCTCAGCCTTAGTAGGATACCAATTTTTGATACAAATCAAACAAAATCTTTTCCTTGTACATTTACTACAATTCACAGTTCTTCCCTTATCATTCCTCTTACACTGATGACAAGTATTCGCTCCAATCTCATTCCCATCTCCATCAAATACCTTCTTCCTAACTTTCACCATTCCCACTCCCCTTGTTTTTCTAACATTCCTGTTACCCATTTTCTCAGAGGCATTTTCACAAACACCTTCAGTGCATTCCACTTTCACCCCAGAATCAACACCTTCTACCCCAATACTCAATAACCCTCCTTCAATCTTCACTCCCCCATCAAAACCCACATCCCCTTCATCATTTCCCCCTTTTCTCTTCCGACTTCCACCCCCATTTTTCTCTCTCTCTCCTCCATTACTACTTTCTTCCTTCGGCTTCGGCGGTCGGCCTCGCTTCCTCACAGAAGGCTCCGACTTCGGCGGTCGGCCGCGTTTCCTCACCGGAATCTCAGTGTTTTCCGGCAGATTTCCGTCTATTTCCGCTGCTTTAATCGACGGTTTTCGACCCCTTTTGGAAGTCAACGGCTTAGTATGATCTTCAACTGGGTTCATGGTGAATTGGATGTAGTGAGAAATTACAGGGCGATTGAAAGAGAAGGAAGATTGAAGGATTGATTTGGTGAAAATTGAAGTAGAAGAAACATGAAAAATGGATGTTGCAAAAATTCTAACCGATTTGGGTAATTGGTTTATTTCTTGGATTTGGAGGTAGTCGTGAAGTCGCACCCGGTTTTGTTTCCCACTGTTTAGAATACATCGTACTCGTGTTGCCAAAAAGATGATTTGTTCTTTGAAAAAAACATTGTCAACCGTGCGTTTTTCTTTACACAAACTATTAAGTCACTTTAGCCTCATCAAATATTTCATCTGTCTAGCGGGTTTTTTCTTTAATCCAGTGATCGCTTCCATTGGCGAAATTGTTATTGGTGGTGGTATCATCGACAGCCAGAAACTTGTTGATTGTTGATTATATTTGTCCATGATTGACTTAATAATTGATTGAGATTCTTGGATATTTCGAAAAATGCCCAAAATATCGATTTGGGGCTTTATCTGATGTATAATAGTTAAAATTTACTGTCCTATGTGATTGTATGTTGAATTGTGAGCGTTTTGATAACAAATGCATGTATTTTGGTTAAGAAATGAGCATGTTATGTTATACCCATAGTTTTAGTATGGGACCTTCAAATCTTCAATGGTGGTTCTGTCATTGTTGATCTTTTAATTATTTTTATAAAAGAAATTGTAGTGTCTATATTATATCATATACTTCATCCGTCCCCTTTTGATAGTCACTTATGCCATTTTTGGTAATCCAAAATGTTAGTCACATTTGTTTTTTTCAAATACCATTAATATTACTCCGTATTTTTTTAACCAAAATTATCTCCTATTTGCAAAAATATTTGTGCAAATTTAACTTTATCATGTAAATTTTACTTTCCCATATACTTTAATTACTTTCTCTCTCTGCTTTTTTGCATACTCGATGTAAATTTACTCTTTCAATGTACTTTTGCTACTTCTTATTTATGTTTATTAATTCCCGTGATTTTCTACCAAAAGTGACTATCAAAAGGGAACGGAGGGAGTATAATAAGTTGGATGGTATCATCTATAACAGGATGTGATATCATGTATATCAGGTAATAAAATGAACATATAGTTAACAAATAAAACATATTAGCCAACAAAATGAACATATCAGCCAATAAAAAAATATTACCTCCGTTCCATATTATTTGCAACGATTTGACATAAAGTAGAAAGGAAAAATGTCTAATCGTTGCAAATAATATAAAACGGAGATACTATATATCAACTTACAGATTTAAGCATATCAGTCAACAAAATGATAAATAAATTAATATGAACCATATCTAATTATCTATCTAAGATTTTGTATAAATTCGTATTAAGGTCCTTTAAGATGGACATACCAATATCCCTCATGGCTTATGTAATAGAGATAAAATAAATATATAGACATAGATAAGATTCTTCATTATTACAAGAGTTAATTACAAAAATCAAATCAACTGTCTAAGAATCATATCCTAGCAAAGGGTATTATACACAGTCATATAGAGGTGTAAATATATACTCCCTCCCATCTTTTTAATTTGTACTAACCACAACACTGAATTAGTCTTTAAGTATTCATTATGTTAACGTGGTATTTTCTTAATAATATATAATTATAAATATTAATATTCAAAGTTGTGCATTGACATATCTGCCACTACTGCCAATCAAAGTAGTGTTGCGATTATTATGAAATGAAGAGAGTATTCTAATACTTGCCTAGCAGAAGACAATCATAAACAAATGCCGGTAAAAGATATCACATGTTTCTAATCAAGGGAATTATCTCAGATTCACATATAGCCATCGATCCACTTCATCAATGAGATACTCCCACCGTTTTTTTAATGCGTCAATTTGACTTTTGCACTATTTTCATGTCGTGTATGACTTAAATTTTTTTGCTATTATAAAATAAATAAATTTTATTACATAATATATCATTAGATTCATCACAATGTCTACTTGCATAAAATAATAGAAATATAAATTTGTTACAATTTTTACAAATAGACAATTATTAAATATGAAAAATTGTCTAGAATAATCCGACCTTTGGGTCGTCCGCGTAAAATAATCTCATCTTTGAGTTGTTTTTAAATAATCTCACCTTTCATGCCAATCTTCTTCAAATGGTCCAAACCGGTCAATTAATTTGTTATAACAAGTTACTTGACACGTGTTAGCACCTGATTGGTCCAAATAATAAAATTTAAAAAAATCAATTAATTAATTTTAAAAACACCCACCAGCCAAACCACCAACTCTGCTGCTACTCCCAGCTGTCAACCTCCCTAAATCCGGCCGCAGAACTCCATTGTCCCAGGAATCCGGCCACGCGCAAACTCCCTTGTCCCAGAATTCCGGCCGTCGAACTCCATTAACTTGTCTCAAGAATCCCCCCCCCCCCGATTTCGACCTTGCTGACCACCCCGATTCCGGCGTCCCTGACCTCCCTCATCCCCCAATTCAAGTCGCATTGAACTCCCTGCCCCGATTTCGCGCCAAACCCAATGTCGGGTTTGGTTTGGTGGGTTTTCAAATGGTCTTGACGTTGGCTGAGTTTGGGTTAATGGGGTTTTGGGGTTGGGTTGGCTGTGGTGATTCCGATCTTGAGGGTGGCGGTGGTTTCGAGTCTAGGTGGGATGGTGGTTCTAGGGTTTGGGTTTGGGTTTGGGTGGTGGTGGGGATGGTGGTGGCTGAATTAGTGTGGCGGTGGTGGTTTTTTTTAAAAAAAAAATTGACTAATTAAGTAATGACACCTGACCCCGAAACCTCCAATATTTCTCAAAAAGCGTGGATATTAGCCTTCAATTTTGGAATTTTTTGACTTTTTTTCGCCCGAAAATAAAAATTGCCGAAATGTTTACCATGGTCCCTAATATCCTCCGAGAGTCCAATTGGGTGGGTGGAACCATCCAATTTGCCTTTAAAAGGCCAATTTACCGGATTAAAACTTGCACGGATTTCATTAACTCAAGCCTACCACGAACATTTATGACAACATATAATAATCATTTATGGTTCCAAACGGCATTATATGACCCCGAGATGTATCTCCTAAAATCTCATTTCTTTTCGATACCGGGCCCCGAAACCATCGAAATTTCTAAAAAAACATGGATATTAGCATTCAATTTTTGAATTATTTGACTTTTTCGCATGGAAATAAAAATTGCCGAAATGTTTACCATGGTTCCTAATACCCCCGGGGAGTCCAATTGGGTGCGTGGAACCATCCAATTTGCCTTTAAACGACCCATTTACCGGTTTACAACTTGCACCGGTTTTATTAACTCAAGCCTACCACGAACATTTATGACAATAAATAATGATCATATATGGTTCCAAACGACATTATATGACCCCGAGATGTATTCTATAGAATTTCAAGACTTTTAGGGACCGAGCCCCGAAGACTCCGAATTTCTTAAAAAGTGAGGGTACTCGTCTTCAATTTTTGAATTTTTTTGACTTTTTTTCGCCCGAAAATAAAAATTGTTGAATTGTTTATCATGGTCCATAATAACCTTTCGGAGTCCAATTGGGTAGGTGGAACCATCCTATTTACCTTTAAACGACCAATTTACCGATTTACAACTTGCACCGATTTCATTAATTCAAGCCTACCACGAACATATATAGCTACATGTAATGATCATATATGGTTCCAAACGGCATTATATGATCCCGAGATATATCCCCTAAAATCTAAAGGATTTTCGACGATGGGCCATGAAACCTCCAAAATTTCTCCAAAGACGTGAATATTAGGCTTCAATTTTGGAATTTTATTTACTTTTTTTCGCCCAGAAATAAAAATTGACGATATATTTACCATGGTCACTAATACCTTTCTATAGTCCTATTGGGTGGGTGGAACCGTCCAATTTGTATTTAAACGACAAATTTACCGATTTACAACTTGCACTAATTTCATTAACTCAAGCCTACCACAAACATTTATGAAAACATATAATAATCAAATATGGTTCCAAACGGTACTATATGACACCACGATGTATTCCCTGAAATTTCAAGACTTTTCAACACCGAGTCCTGAAACCATCAAATTTCGCAAAATGCGTGGATATTAGTCTTCAATTTTGGAATTTTTTTTACTTTTTCCGCTCGTAAATAAAAGATGCCAAAATGTTTACCATGGTCCCTAATACCATCTGGAAGTCCAATTGGATGGGTGGAACCATCCAATTTTCCATTAAACGGTCAATTTACCGGTTTACAACTTGCACGGATAGATTTCATTAACTCAAGCCTACCACGAACATTTATGACAACATATAATGCTCATTTATGGTTTAAAACATTATTATACAACCCCAAGATGTATCCCCTAAAATCTCAAAGATTTTCGACACTAGGTCCCGAAACCTAAAAAATTTCTCAAAACGCGTGGATATTAGCCTTCTAATTTGGAATTTTTTTCACCCGAAAATAAAAATTGCTGAAATGTTTACCATGGTCCCTAATATCCTCCGGTAGTCCGATTGGGTGGGTGGAACTACCAATTTGCCTTTAAACGGCCAATTTACCGGTTTACAACTTGCACCGATTTCATTAACTCAAGCCTACCACGAACATTTATGACAACAAATAATGATCATAAAAGGTTCCAAACAACATTATATGACCCCTATATATATTTCCTAAAATAGTTCCAAACGGCATTATATGACCCCCAGATGTATCTCCTAAAATTTCAAGGATTTTCGACACCAGGCCTCGAAACGTCTAAAATTTATCAAAAAACGAGCCTTAATTTTTGGAATTTTTTGAAATTTTTTCGCTTGTAAAAAAAATTGTTGAAATGTTTACCATGGTCCCTAATACCCTCCGGGAGTCCAATTAGATGGGTGGAACCATCCAACTTGCCTATAAATGGTGTTTTACCGGGTTACTACTTGCACCGATTTCATTAATTCAAGCCTACCCCGAACATTTATGACAACATATAATGATTATTTATGGTTTAAAACAGTATTATATGACCCTGAGATGTATCCCCTAAAATCTCAAAGCTTTTCGACACTAGGCCCCGAAATCTCAAAAGTTTCTCAAAAAGCGTGGATATTAGCCTTCAATTTGGAATTTTTTGTCTTTTTTTCGCCCGAAAATAAAAATTGCCGAAATGTTTACCATGGTTCCTAATACCCTCCGGTAGTCCAATTAGGTGAGTGGAACCATCCAATTTGCATTTAAACGACCAATTCACCGGTTTAC